GAAAAGAAAGAAGGAGATTATAATATAGAAGAGATTAAAGGCTATTACTAGGTTATAGAAATCGCTTTATAATTATATGCTAAACGACTTTAGGAAATAAGGTCCTAATATATTTTAAGAAGTTAAGGATATTATTATGCTAGAGAACTGACTTTTAAAGCTATTAAAGATTTCAAAAACACTAAAATTCCGTTAGAAAAAAGCACTACTAATAAGCTCTCTAATCAAGTATATACTCTCTAAGATTAATTTCCCTAGTATTTTACTATTACCTGAAAAGCTATAATTAACTACTCTCTTATTTCCTCTTTTATTAAGTTTTATCTTTATTCTATTTCCCTTAATATAATAATTTCCTAAAAAGCCCAAAAAATAAAGAAAGACGAAGATAAAAGAGGTAGTTTATAAGGTAATTAAACTACTAGTAATAGTTACAAATAGCGGGAGAAAGAGTAAAAGGAGGCTATTTCATAATGAAGTTCTAATAAGAGCTCGGGCTAATTAAGGGAAAATATAAAGCTCAAGTTTTTTAAATAAATATATATTTTTCAGAAATTAAATAGTTATTTATTAATTAAACTTTAGTATTAGACCTATATAGTTACGTAACTTTATATAATTAGCTAGCTATAGAAAAGCCCTAAAGCCGGAAACTTATAAAGAGTCTTAATAGCTTTGGGATATCCGAACTATTACTAGTACCTAATATTTAAAAAGAGTATTCTATATTCCTATAATAAGTAACCTATTACAGATATACTTAATCTTTAATTTAAGCAGAAATCTAAGGGCTATACTTTATAATTCAAACTCTTAGAGTAATTAATATTTATAAGCCAGATTATATAATTTATAGGGAATTCTAGAGGTTTTAATTCCCAAAAACCGTTTGGGTTCTTATATTAAGTATATTTCCTAATAGTTCTAATATTTTAATATAATTCCCTAAGGGCTAAACTATTACTTATAAGGGAAATAAGAAAGCTAGTCTAGATATTATTAAATAAAGGGCCTCGAGCTTAAAGCTTAAGCTTAAAAAGTATAAAAAGCTTATAATTCTTCTAAAAATAACCCAAGCTTTAATAGGCTAGAAAAGTTTAAGTTTATTATATATTATTACTTATATAACCAGAAATAGAACTTAGGAACGGAACTAAAGAACGGGACTTGAGTTATATAGTATAACTTATATAACTCTTACTATAAACTCCTTGTTTGAATTAATTAGTTAAACTCATTTTTTAATACTAAGTTTTTATTAGGGCAACTTCCTGTTTCTAAAGGCTTTAGATAGAATAGCTAATAAGTTTCTTAGCTATTAGCTAAAACTTATTAGCTAGAAAATAGGCTCACAAGTAATAAATAAGATTACTAAGTAAAACTCTCCTAACTATAATACTAATATATTTTATTACTTTATAAAATAATTAGATATAAGAGCCTTATTAAATATAATATATCTCGAACTATAAGTAATATTTCGTAAGGTATAGGGAAAGTCTTAGTACTTAACTAGTATTATAGTCTAGCCTAAAGGCACTTGCTATTCTTTATATCTAACTTAATAGAAATAAGAAGTACTTATATTTTAATTTAAGAAATAATTAGGATTTTATATAGACTTAGAATAGCGGTTTGCTTTATAGAAAGAGAATGAACTAGATTACTTATACTATATTAATCTTTAGGAAAGCTTGTAATAAATACTATAACTTCTAAAATACTCTTAAGAAAGCTTTCCTAAACTAAAGTAGGCTAGTTTATAATCTTGAAAGATTTATAGGAAACTTATATACCCGAGAGTATAAGCGCTTAAGATAAATATTATTTAAGTTCTAATCTATAATAAAAGGAAAGTAAAATACGTAAAAGTATATAAAATAAAAGTAAAATAAAATATTCGGGTATTAGATAAATAGAAAGCCTAACTATAAATTATAAGAACTAGTACTAACTAGGCATATATATAAAGAAAGAACTTATTAAAGTTAGAGGTAAGATAAGGGAAAGATAAGAGAAACTAAAAAATAAGTTAGTATATATTTTATAAAAGTAAATAGGGAAATGTCTAAATAGCCTAAAGGCGAGAAATATATATTAAAGAAATTGAGATTAGAGGGAAAAGGGCTATTTCCTATAAGAATAAGTTAGAATATATTTCAAGATAAAGAATAGAAATACTTAGTAGCGGCCCGAAGGCTTTTATAAGTATTAAAGAAGAGGAGAAGGTATTAAAGAAGGAAAAGAGATATTAAAGAAAGAAAGGAGGAATCTAAATAGAAGTTAGCCTCTTTTTTAGAAGTTCGAGAAAGAGTACTCCTAAAGAGCCCGAAAGTATAAAAGGTATTATAGTAGGGATTTTACCCCTATTAGTTATATAGTTCTGTTATATAACCTCCGGACATTTATATAGTCCGTAGTCCGCTTATATTACCCCTCTCTCCTTCTTAGTTCTTAGAAATCAATCAACCTTCACTCTCTAATTTCACACCTCACTCGTATATTGTAATCCCATACTATGGAAGCCTATTCTTTATTCCTATATTACTTCGTGTTTTATATCCCTATTATAGTATCGGAAAAGAAAAGATATTAGAGAAGGAAAGAAGAAATCTAAAATTTAGCTTTTTAAGAAATAAGTGAGTTAAAGACTTATAGTATGGAAGTTCCGAATAAAAGTAATCCGGAAGTAGTAATTAAGTACTAGCTCTTAGTATTATTAGTAAAGGAGTTAAAGGAGGAGGAGTTCGGAAGAGAAGGGATTTAGAGAAAGAGGAAAAGGTTATAAGATAGTTAGATACTAGCTCTTAGTATTAATAGAGGTATTAATAAAGGTATTAATAGAGAAGGTATTAGTAGAGGGCAGAAGCTCTTGGTATTAATAGTAAAATCGAAAAAATATAGAAGAAAAATAGAGGTTTTAGAGTAAAGATAGAATAAAGTTATAGTTTTATAGAAAATAAAGGTACTAGTATAGGATATTATATTATTATATAATTCTATATTTACTTTTATTATTTATTAAGGATATATATCTCTTAGGGAAAATATTACTTAGAATTCTTAAGCCTCTCTAATTTAATAATTATATATTCGAAAAATAAGAAATAAATATAATTATATATACTAGAATAAAGGAATTTTTCTTATCTAAAAATTATAATTATAATATTACTAAATATAGAGATATAGAAGTTCATATAATAAGCTATATATAGAGATTTAAGAAGGCTTAAGCTACCTTAAATTATTTATAATTAGTAAAGTAAATTAGCTAATTATATAAGTTAAGTCTAATTTAATTATTATTAGTATATCTTAGCTTTTATAAATTAGTAAGATAAAGAATATTTATATCTTTATTTTTATAACTATAGTACCTAAAATTATAATTTTTTAATATTTAAATACATTTAATCTAGGGCTATTAAGTACTAATATTTTTATTTTTAGGTATTATTTATTATAAATTCATTCGGGTTTAAGTAATTATATTAAATATATATCTTTATATCCTAAAAGTAAATAATAAAGATATAGCCACACTAGTTTTAATTATAGCCTAAACCTTAACCTCCTTCCAAAAACAACTTTAATTCCAATATATAATACTATTACTAAAGCTCTTCTTTATTAAAAATATATTAAATATAGCTTTAAATAATAGCTCTAGTAAAGATAAAAGCGGCAGAAAAGGTAATAAAGGCGCAAATAAGCAAAAAGATAATATTTATAATATGCCCTCTAATAATTTAAACTTAGTCTATAATATTTTCTCTTATTACCATATTTAACTAATAAATCCCTTTACTTCTCGACTTTTGCCTTATATATAACTTCTTCTTTTTCCTCTTTCTTTTCTATAATAATACTTTAATCTTCTTATATTACCCGATAATACTACTAAAGTAGTAAAGCAAATTAATAATAAAGCTAAAGTTAGAGAGATAGAGCTATACTAGGGCAGGAAGCTAAAAGAATTAGAGAAAAGCAAGGTAAATCTAAAAATAAGCTTGGTATATACTCGCGGAACCAAATCCTTTCAAGCTTATATTACTTATAGTAATAAGAAGAGACCGAGAGGCCCTTTTAAACGCTATATAGTTATAGAAGGCGAATTTAATAGTGCTTATACAAATTACAGATATAATAATAATAGTAAAGTCTATATTTTCTATTAACTTAATACTAATTCTACCAAGTCTGGAAAGCCTCGCTCCGTATCTATAAAACCCTTTATACTAAAGCTTTGACTGCCTATAAGATATAGAAAGCGAGCATAAAAATAGATATAAGATTAGAAGATAAAGGGGAAGGAGATTATAGTAGAGAAGAAGAGTAAGGATACTAGAGAAAAAGAGGATAAAGGAAATATAAATAATTCGAGTAATATAGATAGTATAAAAAATACGGATAGTAAAAGAGATATATCTCGTAATTTATAGGACTTGCCTTACGGACCATATAAGCTAAAGGGAAATTAGAAGTAGTTAAGAATAAGGCATATATACTATACTTTAGGAGAATATTATAGCAGGAATAAATATAAATACTAGTATCTATATTAATTATAAATAGCTTTATTTTAGCCACTTCTCTATAAGTTATATATATATATACAAGTATAATAATAGTTTATAAGAAAGGAACCTCGATTTTAGTAATATAGTACGTATAAAGTAGAGTGCTACTATTCCTAATAATTTTTGGTGGGTAAGGCATAGCACACGCTAAAATCACAAAATCACTACCTTACGGGCGATTCTAGCCGCACTATAAGGTTAAAATAAATATAAATTTATCAGGATATCGAAAATACTATAGGACGTTATTATTTAATAGGATTTGTAATTATAATAAAGGGTTGATTAAAAATCGATTTTTTTGGGGTGGGCGGATGGGGGTTTGGGCGGTTGGCTAGTGGATACTTCTACCTGCCTGCTGATGAACTCTGACGAGGTTCTGTAATTGACACGCCCATGGACGATGGTTCTGCTTCCGACGATGTTCCCGAGCAGTCTGATGGGGAGTACGACAATCACTTAAGCCACTCTAGCTCAATCCCAACAGAAGACTAGCTTTTTCGGGATAGGGATTGACCTATATAGCCAGTGAGCGATGGTGTTGATAACGAGCCCCAAGTATCGTGCAATACTTTAATAATGTGTTAGTGTTCTTCGGTCCGAAACTTAGACGGCACTCACAACAAGTTTATAAAGCTCCATTTTGGCTGGATAAGCGGCCTGAAATACCAATACCGTATCAAACCTGGACAATCACCTCCGAAACCGGTAGACCACATGATCAAGAAGCCAGCTAGAACCAGAGCAAAGGTTGGGCTCTCGTTCGAAAGGTGTTATTCAGGGAGGGGAGGGCTCATATATATAATGGGATGAGAGACCTAATACATACGGGAAGCTATATACGGCAGGCTCGGCAAAAATACCTGAGGCATTGATACCGGTATCGATTCTACTGGTATTATTCAGGTATTACTAAGCATCGATACTATTAATACCGGAATCGATTCCTTCACCGCTTTCTACCCCGCACCCTTTAATTTTTACTCTCTTCACTTCTCTCACCTCACATCAGAATTCCATTTGGATCACACTCTCAAAATGTCTTCTTCGCATGAGCTAGACTCTTCCTTTATAGCTTCTGCTGCTTCAGTAGAGCTAGAATCAACTATAACTTCCCAGAGCCGAAAATGGAGAGCCGCTGTTTGGAAGTACTATCGTGAACCCACTGAGAAGGAGAACCAAGCTAACCTTTACTATACTTACTATACCGATTTAACGAGATCACCATATGGCACTTCTCTTTTAGAGAATATAAAGAAGCATATAAAAGTCACCCACAAAATTGCTATTGAGCGTACTTTAAGCAAGAACCAAGTAGCAGTCAATTCGTAATTAAAGCAATATTATTACCAAGCTACTAGATCAAGCGAGCAAGAAGAGCTTAATACCGAGATCCTGGAAGCCTATCTGAATACCTCAATTATTACGGAAGCCTTAATTACTCTTATTATTATACGGAATCTGTCCTATACTCTTATTAAATAGCCAGAGTTCCATACCTTTTGCCAAGTACTCAATCGAGCTATTAAGGGCAAAATTACGACTTCTCATTCAGGAATTACTAGCTCAGTCAAAGAAGCTTGGGAGCGGCACCAGGATACCGTATAACAAGTTCTCCAGGCTATACTCTCACTTATTTATATCTCTCTTAATATCTGGACCTCTCTAAATCGATTACTTTTACTTATAATCTATAGCCATTTTACTATATATAATAGAAAGCAATAAAAGGTTTTTCTCGCTTTAAAGAAGGTTTCTGGCTATAGCTCAGAGGCTTAAATGGCAATCTTTTAGCCAGTCCTTCAAGATTATAGTATTACTTATAAGCTTGGAGCTATTATAAGTAATAATGCCTCTATAAATAATATTCTTTATTAACTGGTTTAAAAGAAGTTCAAGAATAAGCTTAGCTTAAATTAGGAGGCAGATTACTAGTATATTTGCTATTTAGGCTATATTATTAATCTGGTTATATAAGCCTTTTTATTTACGAATTAGATTAGCTTAGAAAGCCTTAATTCGTATAATAAGTAGAAGCAAGCTAGAGTCTTTAATATAATAGAGGTAATAAGGGCTTAGTTCAGGCTAATAAGTTCCCTTAGTTAAGTATATAATATTATAATTTATATTTATAGATTAGCTAGAAGAATAGAGGAGTTTCGTATACTTATAAAAAGACTAATTCCAATAGATAATTATATAAGATAGAATAGCTAGTATTAGATACTTTATATACTGCTTAACTTAAGGCCTATAGTAGAAAGGTATTATTAAAACTATAAGAAGAAGCTTAAGAAAGATATCTTAACTTCTAAAGATTAGAAAAAGCTTCGTATAATTAAGAAGTTCCTTAAACCCTTTATATAAGCTATTCTTACTACTAAGGGCTTAACTTCCCTTAATTCTACTCTCTTTATAATAGATATCTTAATTAAATACTTTTAAGAGGAGAATATAAGTTCTCCTTTTCCCTTATATAACTATACTAATTCTAATAGGCTAAATATTAAAAGAGGAAAGATATAGAGGGAAGGAACTTTCTTTACCGGATTAAAGTAATATATAGTATTTTGAATAATTATTATATAAGAACTAATATATTTCCAGTTTATACTACTATATTAATTTTAAATTCTTGTAATTATATAAGATATATTGAGATATACTAGCTAAAGAAATAGTTAAAGCCAGTTCTAGCTAAGGTTAAGAAGCTTTAGGAGAGATATAGGGAAAGAGCTATTATTATATCTACTTTACTAGCTTTTTCGCATAATAGCTCGTCTTATAAGAGACTAGAACTAGATATATATAATTATATTACCTTATCTCTTATAGTAAGAGCTCGGCCCGCAAGTTAAGACGAGTTTGAGGACTATAACTCACTGGAATTATATAATTCTGGTAAAAAGAGGGCTCTTATATAGTAGTGCCAGGATATATAGAGGTAATACTAGCTAAGGCTCTTTCTTATAGCTATTAATATCCTCTCAATTCCACTAATAAGCAATGAGCTAGAGAGAGTATTTTCAGGGGGACGTTATATAGTAAGCTGGGATAGGGTATAATTAGAGGCAGAGATAATTAAGATATAAGAGTGCTTAAAGTATTAGAAGAGAAGCGGAATTCTAAATACTTTCCTTAAGACTAGTTAGGGAAAAATCAAAAAAGGGCAAATATTAAGAGCTTAATATAATCTATTAGGTATTATATAAAAGCCAGGCAATTATATAATATAATAAGAGTAGTCCTATCTATTTATTTATAATAGAAGGAATACTTTGGCCAGGGTAATATCCAGGCTTTAAAACCCGGCTACTTCGTATAATTTGAGGGGGTTTAGGCTATCCTCTACTATTACTCTCTTCTCTATTATTATTAATATCTCGAGCACTATATTGGGTCGCATAACTATAATAAATATAGTTACTATATACTTTATATTACTCTTCTCCAGAAATCCTTAAGCACTTCTCAAAAATACCTTAACTATTTTGGCAAGTAGTATAAGAAGTACGAATATTAACTTGGCTACTATATTATTTAGTATAGATTATATAAAGTATAAAGAAGTAACTTATACTTATTAAGTCAAGATTATATTAAGAACCTTAGAAAGAAGCAGGGCATTAAAGATACCAGGAGTATAGGGACCCTTAATTTCAATATCTAAGGGAGCAGAATTGGCGATATTAAAGGTATTTCGCTATTAAGGACTACTAGTAATAATAGATGGCTCTAGTTTATTGCCTCCTATATAAAGGAAGTAATGAATATTATTATAGCTATCCAGGCAAGTCCAGATTACCAGATCTTGCTGAGCTTGCTATTAAGCTACTATTTTATTGAGCTTGACTAGTGTATATATGCGTATATATACGTATATATATGTAAATATATATATATATATACATGTGAAATAGAGGGTATATGGAAAGTATATATAAGTTGGAGAGAGAATTAGGAGCTGAGAGCTTATTTTAAAGGTATCTGAAATTATTAATAACTAAAATGGGAGCATAAATGACTCAGATTAAGCTATATTGCGTCATATAAAGCTGTAATTCATGTAGTTATTTGGTATAATTCGGACGAAGGTATCAAAATTAGCTGGGGCCTTAGAAATAGGGCAAATACTTACTAAGAATCGATTCCGGAATCGATAGTATCGATACCTTACGATTCTGGCATCGATACCTATCGATACCGGAAATTAAGGAATTTTTGCCGAGCCTGATATACGGCACCCACGCGACCTGAGTCTTCTAAAAGCAGAAAATTGATTAGGGATGGCACAGTGCCTGCCTATATATTCACCATCAACGTGCGTTCCTCCGTGGCCGAGAATATCACCAAACAGAACCCACAGAAACGAGGCACGATCCATATTTACAGTCTGGCAGACTTTCGTGAGACTAAAAACACTATTTCTATTGGAGAACGGCTCAAATTAGACCCTTCTGGATGTTTTCATTCTGCTAGAAATAAACATTCAAAGCTTCTGTCGACCCTGCGGCGTTGATATCACGTTCGAAGTCCTCGCCTGCTTCAATTGCAAAATCCAGATGAGACAGAGTCACCTGAGCTCCCTCCCGAAGACTCGAAGAGCTAAGGCATGGGCCGTGGAGGTGAGATTTTTAATCTGAAAGTGGCACGAAGGTGAGCATTCTATTCCTGAGGGCAAGCAATAAGGTGAGCTTACCTGGCGACTATTCAACGGCTTCTGCACCAGAGATTCAAGGCCACTGTTACTACATACTAGCAGGCCTTGAGGTTTTGTAGCCTTCCCCAGGAAGTACGTACGGCGAATACATTATTCTCAAGGTGCAAAAGTATTGCTTGATAGTGAGGCTAAAGTCGTAACCCACCTCACTCACCGCGAAGTCCTGTTACTCGAAATTCCGCACATCTCTTTGAGCTCAGCTCCTGAATTCTCCCAACAAATTCTTCCAATGATAGTATGCTCTTACTTCCTATTCCAGGCACCTCATCAACACGAACATGCTTCTCTGCAGCGTTTTTAGCCACCTCTGCTTCTCTCTTTAAAGCTCTGAGGGACTCCGCCATCTTCGCCACATCTTGAGCCCTTGAGGTATCGTTGAGGAAATTTAGCAAGGTGAACGCAGGTTCCACCAGCTCTAAATCTTTTAGCTCATGTTGTGTAGTTGTTGGACCAGAAATAGCATGTGTCAGCATGAGAGTGCAAGCTGATGTGATAATATCTAGAAGGAGCCAAACGTGAGCAAAGTCACCCTGCGGTAGTAGCTGGAGAAGCTGCATCGACTCTCGCGCCTGTACAAGACACAACGCATCGAGATCGGCTGTGTGAGCTAGGCGACGCACAGTATCCAACGCGTGAAAATAGGTGAACTTCAAAATAACGCTATGTAGCAAGATGAAAAAGCTAGGCGCTTCATGTGTAGTGTTGAATTTTTCGATGAGAAGCATGCATGGAATACTTTGCTTCCAGGCTTCTAGCGTAGTGACCAATTCTTTCGCGGTGCTCTGGTTGACCATAGCGACCAAAACCTTCTATGCCTGATTTTCGCCATTTTCGCCATTTTTCTAAGGCCACACCCAATTATTTTGACCCCATTATCTGAACTATACCAAATAACTATGTGATTCACAGCTTCATATACTATTTCTAAGGCCCCAGCCAATTATTTTAGCCCTATAGTCTGAACTATACTAAATAACTATATGATTCACAGCTTTATGGCCCTATTTCTAAGGCCCTAGCCAATTATTTTGCCCGCATCATCTGAACTATACCAAATAACTATATGATTCACAGCTTGATTTATAGCTTAATCTGAATCATTCAGGCTCCCATTTGAGTCATTCTTGGCCCTAGATATCTATAAAATAGGCCCTCAGCTCCCAATCCTCCCTCCAACTTCCTCACATATATATATATATACATATACTTACTCTCTCTCTCTCTCTCCTTACATATACTTCACATATAATACTTTATACACATATAATGGCAGCCCAAGCTCAATAAGATCTAGTTGTCTGGACTCATATAGACGCCTCCGATAATATTCAGTACTTCCTTCGTATAGGAGGGAATGAGCTCCAGCCCTCAGTTATTAATAGTAGCCCTTAGCAGAAGCGTATCTTTAATATTAATAATCCAGAATCCTCAGATATTGTAATTAAGGGTCCCTATACTACTACTACCTTTAATATTCCACTTCTCCCTAAGGTTATTAATATAATCTTGACCTAACGAGTATAAGTTATTTCTCCTGAGTTTATATAATCTGTACTAAGTAATATAGTAGCCAAGTTAATACTCAAACTCCTTATACTACTTACTAAAATAGTTAAGGCATTTTTGAGGAATACTTAAGGGTTCCTAGAGGAAAGTAGTATAAAGTATATAGTAACTATATTTGTTATAGTCATATGACCTAATATAGTACTCGAGATATTAATAATAATAGAGAAAAGGGTAATAGTAAAAAATAGCCTAAATTCCCTTAAATTATATAAAATAGCCAGGTTTTAAAGCCTAGATATTACCCTGGCTAGAGTATTTCTTCTATTATAAATAAATAGATAGGACTACTTTTATTATATTATATAATTACCTGGCTTTTATATAATACCTAATAAATTATATTAAGCTCTTAATATTTGCCCTCTTTTAATTTTACTTATAATTATAATTTAATTTAGAAATACCTAAAAACTAAGAAAAAGAGAATTTAATCTAGTCCCAAAGTATTATATAATAAGTATAGAATCTCTTAGTATTAAACTAAGTTAAGAAGCCTTATTTCTTTCTTAGATTCTTTTCTCTCTTCTTTAAATCCTTAGACTTAACTTATTTAGCCTTTTTTATAAATATCTTTCTAATCTTTCTATTATATAATATATTCTAAGTAAGTAAAATAGCTTTTTCTATCTCTCTCTTAGCTAGAGCTTAATTCTTCTTAGTCTGAGTATAATCTGCCCTAACTTGCTTCTTAGCTTATTTTCCTAAACGAAATATTCCTGGACCTAAGAGAGATTATATTTACTTCTATATATAATTATTCAAGCTTCCTCTTTTCTTAAAAGTACGGCTTACTAAGTCCTGAATTATATCTTCCTTCTCTATAAAGTCCTTAAGCTCTTAAAGCTTAGTAAGAAGCATACTCTTATATTCTTTAGCTATTTCCTTATACTTAAGGGTTATAGATTACTAATTTGCATATTAATATATAGTCTCTAGGGAATCAGGAAATATAGATTAGGGAGGAGGAGGAGTAGCTTCTTTTAGTAAGGCTAGAACTTAGCTAGAAAAAGGTTTCTTCTTAGAATAATATTAGTATATAAATTTAATAAGTATTATATAATATACTACTAGTCTCGGAAGGGGTTAAAAGGGCTCTACTTTAATAGTAGGCTCGACTTTTATATGCTTGGCTTTAGCTACTTTAGTAGGCTAGAAATAAATATTAGTTAAAAGTAGAGGAATAGCTCGGTAAAAGAACTTATTTCTTAGGCTACTTAATTATATAATAAGATATAGCTTTATAAAACCGGGTATTTCTCTTTTTAATAGCTCTTAGTTAGGAAGAAGTAAATCCTATTAAAGAAAAAGTTAGAGAGGGAGGTAAGAGAGGTAACTTCTTTTCTTTATTATATAGTAGCTTAAATAGCTTAGGTAATACAAGAATAGCCTTATATTTCCTTTAATAGTATTAAAGACTTTTCTGGGTAAGGTCTTTATTTTTAGTAAATAGGATTAAATAAGCCTAGAACTTATAAATATTCTTTTAGACTAATATAATTAAGTAAGGTAAAAGATCTCTTATTATATAAATCTCCCTAGAAAGAAGCTTTTCTAAATCTCGTAAAAAGAAGTTATCTTTATTCTTCCAAGCTATAGCTATCTAAGTCTTATACTTCCCGGTTTAGAGAACTAGCTTCTTTATATAACTATATACTTGACTATATCTTCTACTTAAAATACTCGTTATAAGCTTATTAATAATAAAGGCTTATATTAGGTTATTATCCTAATACCTAAGTCTCAAGAGGTTTATTTTAAAGACCTCATACTTAATATTATTTCTTAAAATAATATAAGTATTATATAATTAATAAGTAAGGAAAGTATATATATACTAAGAATACGGAACTAAGAAAATATAAGAAAAGAAGAATTAAGCTCTTTATTAGATAGCTAGGCATAATACCCTTAAACTTTAAAGAGAGCTAATTATATAATCTCTTTTTAAGACCTAAACTTGGATTTTCCTGTCTAGAATTATAGATAATAAGAGAAAGTAAAGAAGCTAGTATTTGAATATTTCTGCTCTTTTTTAATAGTAGTAATAATAGAAGCTTAGTATAAACCGGCTATAGTTATTATATAAGAAATAATTCTTGGCTTATATAATTAGGTAATAGGTATAGGGGGAAATAGGCTTAAATTACTTGCTCTAGAGGATCTTGGCCTTAATTTAATCTAACTAGGGTAATTTAGATATAGTTTAGTAGCCCATATATTATATAATTTAAAGAAAAGATATCTAGCCTCCTTTTTCTCCTCTTACTTAATTAGGAGAGCTTCTTGCTTAGGCTCGGCCCGGGCTTAATAAAACTTAGTAAAGAGCTTCTTAAATAATAGAAAAGAAGAAAAAAAGGCCATATAATAAGAGCTACTAATAGGGGATACCGGATTACTATCTAAAATCTTAATAGTAGTCTCTTTTATATTTTGGAATATAAGTAAAGATACTATAAGATTAACTAGAGAAGTACTATAATACTAAGGTTATAAATTATGCGAATCGGGTAAATAAGGGGTTTCTATACTATATTACTTATACTAGAACTAGCTAGGCTTATTAAGAGTATTTCTATATATAGGATATCTTAGGAAAAAGCTAGAAATCTTTCTAGGAGGCATTTTTAAGTAAAGAAAGAAAGAAGATATAATTATAAGTAAATTATATAATAAAGATAAAGATATAGCAAGATCCTTAAGTAAAGATTTATTTCTTTTCTTAGGCCTCTTGCTCTAATAAGTTCCTCTTATCCGGCTGCTTCTTATCTTACTTCTTCTTATCTAACTTACTCAAATTGCCTTCTTTACTAATATTTATCTTTTTAATCTCTCTTTATTAGGATTATATAGTCTTTATAAACTTCTAGTTCTCTGAGATTAGTTACCTAAAGTAAGATCCGTTTTACTATATCTCCTTAGTACTAATTTTAATCTTTGGGACAAGTCCTAGCTATAGGCTTGAGTTTCTACTAGTAATATAATATTATATAATAAGCTAAAGGTAGTAATATGCCTTAATATAAAGCCTAGAACCGTCTGGTTTACTAGTTCCTTTTATAAGGCTTAAAGAATTAATCTCAATATTTATAAGCTATAATTTATACTATATTAAGGTATTATATAGTAAGTACTTATTAATATCTATAGCTAATAATCTTAGTATATAAAGATAAATTTATAGTCTAGCTAACTAAGAGGCCCTAGAACTAAGAAGGGAAACTAGTAGTAAAAAGATATTAGGGCTCGGTTTATTTACTTAAATAAGAATTATACGAGTTCTTAAGTCAAGCTATATTATAAGCCATTACCTAAATTAGGAAAAGAAAGAGATTATAGGAATAACTTACCCTAATTAATATAATCTTACTCTAATTTAGCTAAAAGCCCCTTATTAACTAGAAGTCTATATTACTTAATAGCTATATACTTATAGAGAAATATAGGAATACCTGCTATATAGTATTTCCTCTTTAGATCTTTCCGGATCCGGTAGTAATTTTATATATCTATATATAATACTATAGTATATTATATAATAGGCATATAAATAGCTAGTATAATAGCTAGTATTATATAATTAATACGGACGTGGTTTTAGCTAAAGGGATTAGTTTTAGCTAAGGTTCCAAGCTATAATTCAAACTAAGCTCGCTTCCAAAGCTCGGCGTTTTAGTAGTCTTGGCCATACCTACTTATCTACTGCCACACCTCACTCCTATCCTCCTTAGCTTTAAATTCTTAAGATATTGGAAATTATTAATCTTTGAGCCTCGTTTTATTACTCTATTCCTGCCGTTATAGCTAGTATAGTAATTCGGTCTATAAGAGTACTATTAAAGTTCCTAGCTATTATTATAATGGGCACACGTAATGGCGCATGGACAGGTATTAGATATCGTGGATCTAGTTTCCTATTTTGGGTATAGCTTGCGATCGGAATCATATGGATCACATGGGATTTCCTAATTAAGTAAAGGGCTTCGCATGCCTGGCTAAGTACTAGGGAATATATAGGGAGATGCTCCTAGCTTTAGAAGAGGCATTAATTAGTCTCTTATTAGAATTAATTCTTGGAATTAGTTATACTTGCAAGCGTTACTCCGTAGCTTACTTACCTTAACTACTTATATATTACCCTACTATTACGTACCTTATATTCTAATCGATCCAACCTTCGGGGAGTAGTTTATTACGAGGTAGTCAAGCCGTCA